ACTCAGAGACATGCTTAGAATCTTAGCAACTGTAGTTTATGTTTTAATTTCTTTTTAATGATTTATTTCATTTTACAACGGTGCACCTTCCTTCATATTTTATTTTTAAATAAAAAAAAGTCATTTTCACCTCAGTTGTGATTTCCATCCATGGTGAAATGATTTACTCTTTATATATATATATATATATATATATATATATATATATATATATATATCACTACTACAAAATACACCGTCGGTAACACTAATTCTACTATGATTAGGCTTCCACTGTGATGATATGTTTTACGTAACGCGCGATAATTTTCTTTTATTTACTTATGAAAATTTTGATATGATATAATCACGGATGAATCATATGACCGTGGTTATATAATTACCCTTTCATGGATTCGAATCCCAGCATCCCTTAAATATTTTATTTCTTTAACATTTAGTCATGTATTTGTATTTTTAACATCTCTTTAACATTGGATACCACCACGGTTGAGTAACTTTATTTTAAATTGTAATATATTAACGTGTCAAATGTTTTATTTCTTTAACATTTAGTCGTGTCTTTTTATTTTTATTTATTTTTAATTTTTAATTTAGTAAGTAACATATCACCACAGTTCTTATTTTTACCGTCGTGGTATTATTAATTCATTTTTATCAAGCTAACTAGTTTGTCTCTTTAGTAACCATTCTTTCCTGAGAAACGATACACTATTTCAACCCTAACGTTCAGTGCTGAGAAATGATACACCATTTCAACCCTAACATTCATCGTTCATCATTTTGCATTCGTCGTTCATTTTTAACCCGTAGTCATTATCATTGTCATCAGTTCATTTTTAACCCTAACACACCAACGCCAACACTAACATTATCGTCATCTTCAAGGAGGAATAATAAAACAAACACTATTTGTATCAACCCAAATATTCACATTTACTTAGTCATCACGTTTACGGTACATAAAACTTTTTTCCATGCATCTAAAGTAAACATCAGTTTCCATTGTTGTTGGTGTTGTTGTTGTTATTTTTTTTTGTTCTTATTGAATGTGTTTCATAAAAATTGATTAATCTTTTGTTTTTGTTGTTGTTGTTGTTGCTGTTGATGTTGTTGAATGTATATGTGATAATAGATGAAAGAGTTTTTTGTTGTGGTTTTTGTTGAATGTGTATGTGATAATCTTTGAAAGAGTTTGTTTTTTTTTGTTGAATGTATATATGATAATAGATGAAAGAGTTTGTTGTTGTTGAGGTTGTTGTTGTTTTTGAAAATAGATGTCGTCTTTGTCATATTCTTCATCTAATGGTGAGGAAACTATGACAAGTGATACTCAAATCAAAAAGAAAAGGTCACAAAGAGGTGCCACAATGCTTACCAAAGTAACAAAAGTCGACAAATCTGGTATCAAATCTAGTAACCTGAGCGTAAGTCTAACTTGGTGAAGAATTTGGCAGAGCCTAATTCATCTAAGAGTTCATTTATGGTAGGGATTGGGAAATGGTCTTTAATAGTAACAGTATTGAGAGCACGATAGTCCACACATAAATGCTAGTGCCATCTTTTTTTTACAAGTAACACAGAGGACAAACATGGGATGTGGCTAGGAATTATGACACCTTGTTTTAACATATCTTGGATAATAGAGGCTATGGATTCCTTTTGTGAATGAGGGTATCTGTATGGTTTAACGTTGATAGGTGGTGTGTTGGGTTCAAGAGGGGATGTGATGGTCATGTGGGTGTTTAGGTGGCAGAAATGAGTGTTGTTGGAAAGTTATTGGGTAGCTTTGGATCAAGTTATGAATTTTTTGGTGTAAGTATGGTGGTAAGGATTCAAAATTGGGGTTTGTGCTAGAAGCAAAGGTTGTGTGGGAACCAATTGGTTGAAAGGTTGGTAAGTGGAATGAGAAAACAGAGTTAGTATGAATAAGATGGCGAAGTTGGTGGATGGTGGTATGGATTGGGTGAGATGTAGGGTATCCCTTTAAAGTGATGGATTTATCTTGATGGGTAAAAGTGATGTAGGGGATAGAAAAATATGTTTAAATCGGGCCCAAGGTGCATAACCACGCCATGCCCAAAACCATATTAGTGCCTTCAATTGGTAACCAGTATAAAGGAGTTGAAAGAGTTTGTTTTGTAGAACAATTTAAACATTATTGCAGATTCCTTCACATTGTAAATATGATTCATTTCCCACCATTACTGAAAATTGAGTGATAGGGGTTGCTTAAGGTTGAGATGGTGAGCAATGCATGGTTTGAGAATATTATAAGTGATGCCCGTATCCACGAGTACCATGACTGATAATCCACCAATTAGGCCTTTAAACTTGAGTGTTTGGGGAGAAATTTGACCAGTTAGAGCTTGAGTTGAGAGTTGAAAGTAAGTATCTCTTTTGTCTTGCTCATCGGTGTCACGATCCATGTTATCTTGAGCTAGAATATGTTCTTCCAAAACTTCATCTTTAGCCAAAAGAAGAAGAAATATAGTCATGGAACATTTCTGTCCCGGAATAAACTTTTCATCATAATTAAAACATAACCTTTTAGCCATTCGTTCTTGAAGTTGGGCTTGAGAAAGGTGGCGGATGAGAACTTTTGTAGGAATAATGGATGGTTGAGGTTTAGAAGGGTTTGTCCCTTGTGGAGTGGGAGAACTGAGAAGTTTTAAGGGTAGGGAGGTAGAGGAAGTGGCGTTGGTTTTTTGGTAAGGGCTAGTAAAAGGCTTGGAGAATTTGGGTTTAGAAGCTTTAAGTTTAGATTCAATGAGTTTCGCAAGCCCAATAGCTTGGGAGATTGAAGTGGGTTTATGAATGGCCATCTCATTTTGAATCTCTGACGTCAGCCTCGAAATAATACAATTTAAAATTGCGTCAGGAGGCAAACCAACAACTTGGTTGCCTAATTTTGCAAACTTAGCTTGGTATTCAACAATATACCCTTCTTGTGTTAGTTTAAATAATTTAGCTTGATGATTCTCATAAGAAAAAGGACTAAAACTTAATTCCAAGGTTTTTTTGAAAGAAACTCAATCTGATGATAATAATAAATTATGATGCATCCATTTAAACCAACCCAAAGCCTTATCTTTTAAGTAAAAAGAAATTAATGATAATCTATTTTCATGAGGCATGTTATAAAAACTGAAAAATTACTCTGGTTGAAACAACCATTCTAGTATATTTGAACCTTCAAACATAACAAGCTCAAGTTTAGGTGTACAAAAGGGTGGTAAAGGTGGGATATGGGGAATGTGGGGGTAAGGGTTTTGCTGGAAAATGGGAAGATTATAAGTTGGGGTGTGGGGAAACGTTGTTTGGGGCAGAACTTATGGTGAGAAATGAGGTGGTGGCTGAGCTAGTGTCGTGCGCATCATGGTTGTAGCAATAGGTTGGGTGGTTGAGTTAGAAAAAGTTGTTGATTGTCTTAAAGGGCGTATTTGTGGGAGGTAATATGAATAACATGGGTGGGAAATATGGATGTAAATGAAAGGTGTTGAGTAATACCTGAAGAACTTGATGTTGAATGAACAATAACAGGTTGTTGTTGTTCCTTCTGTGACAGAAGCTTGTGGAGGGTGGACATAATGGACTCATACCTAGAATATGAGATTTGTTTGTCATTATCCATTCTGGTGTGGAGCTGACCTAGATTCTGCTCCAAATCTGCATTAACCTTGTCAAACCTTTCATTCATTTAAAGTTGAATTTGTGTCATAGCATTGTCAATGAGAGTGTGAGCAGTTTGGACAGCTTCATCAACAATTTCTTTTGGAGAAGGGTTGGGGGGTTTGGGGGAAGCCATGAGAATAATAGATGAAAGCACCGAATGTTAGACTACACTAAATTATCATATAGACCTAAAATGACAAAGGAAGATAACACACAAGACATAAATTTTTCAGTTTTCATTACCCTCAAAGTAACAATAAGATGATAATAAATAGTTAGAATTTACAAAAAAAAAAACTAATGAACCATGGATCCAAAAAAAGAAAAACACAAACAACAAACAATAAATACTAATTGAACCCTCTAAACTAATAGTAACAATCCTTCAATAAAATATATATCTTTTTGTATCCAGTGGGCCTTGGACTTTTCATATAAACTAGTATTGAAACTCTTATCTTAAATTAAAGTTGTTATCCACTCACATCCCAAGTGTTTTGCAAGTGCATGATATTGACTTAAATTAAGTTAACAAACCACATTAATGTAAAACTTTTAGCTTAGATTAAAGTTGTTCATCATTCCCACTCCTAGCATTAATCTATTTAGTTTTCATAATGTTTTAAACAATTTGTTAACGCATGAAGTTTCAAAGTCTAACAAAGTTTAAAAATCTTCAATTTCTTAATTTTTTCAACAATACTTTAACAGGAAAATTACTCAACAATCTTTCAAACATGCAAAACTTAATCGTTTTTTTGTTTAAAAACAATAACTTAACTGATTTTCATCCTAAAAATCAACTTGAATTATAAAAGTAAGTTAAATGACCAAAAAGATAATTTAACTAAAATGAAACATGTACATAACAATAATTATGTAGTTTTTAACTTACCTATTACACATAATATATATTGAAGAAACATTCGAAAGAAACAAGCATAGGCACATGACAACCCTCATTCTTAAAGGAAATCAATGCAACACTCTCCTTTATCCTATTTTGGACAAACAAACAAATCAAACTAAATGAAAAGGACTAATTGATATGGACTTTTACATGGGCCACTCCAAAAACTTCATGAATGAACCCCACGTGGAAATAAATATCAATAAATACTCAAATCCATCTACTTCATTATCTATAAAAAATTAAAAATACAAATTTTGTCTTAAAAAATCTCAAACGTCGGTCAAATTAGTCTCTTTTAAATTATTTTATCCGACTTTAGACTAAATTGACCGACGTTTAAAATTTTTTAAGAACTAAATTGGTAATATATTTTATTTGTCACTAATAAATAAATAAATAAACACTTGTTCGATTAATGATTCAGAAGTTCTTCTATCATTTGAAGTGCAATTCTTTGTTCTTCATCTAATTGATTATTTTCATTGGTTTTTTCTTCTTCGTCGTCTTCTTCTGCCTCTTCTGGTTTTACGATCTTCTTAGAATCATCGTTAACAACAATAGAAGGCATTATTTCCGAATTAGAATTAAGTACTATTTCTCCTTCTTCTTGTTCTTTCTCCTTCCTTTCCAATTCAACCATCATGATCCAACTCGAGTCGGAGCGAGGGCCGGCTCGTTTTTGCCACACTCCAAAGTGCGAATTCTCGGTGTCAAGCCTTAGACAAGTAAGTGAAGGTGAAGGTGATTTGCAACATTTTCTAAGCTTTGCACTTAGAATGGCAGAGAGGGATGTATTAGTAGAACTAGTAGTGGAATTTGAAGAAGAAGATGCAAATGATTTTTGGTTATTATTGTTGTTGTTATTTGGCATTGGATTGTTATCAGAAACTGGAAAATTTGTTTTTGCATTTCTTCCACTCATTAAAATTGCTGCTTCATCATAAGCTCTTGCTGCTTCTTCAGCTGTTTCAAATGTTCCTAGCCATACCCTCCTTTTCCTTTATCAAAAAAAAATGCAAATTTCACTTTCATTAATTCAATTCACATTCTCATGTGGCCTAATTAATAAACATTAAATCTCTGAGATCTCATTAATGAGTTCAATGCATAGTTTTATTTGGCCTAACAAGCAATAATTGATACATTTCACCATAATTCAATGCATAGTTTTATTTGGCCTAACAAGCATTAATTCTCTAAGATCTCATTAATCAAATCAATATTTTCATTTGACCTAATAAAAATTAATTTCATAAAAAAATTTCTCTAATTGATTCAATGCACATGGATCACAAACATTTCAAGATCAATGGAATCAACAAAGAGTGCATAAATTTAGATTTATATACGGTGATAAAAAAAAATGTAAAATCAATGAATTTTGATTCTATAATGTCAAGGATAAACACAATTATGCAGTCGCTGTAAATTAACAGTCTGCATGATTCATATTACCTTGACATTGTAGAATCTAAACTCAACAAAGAAGATAAATAGAGTTTTTGTAATGAGATGAGTTTAAAGAGAATGTACGTACAATAAAGGATGACGAATCTCGGAAACCCAAGAGCCCCAATGGCGTTGCCTAACACCTCTAAATTTCTTTGATTTCACCATGTTATATTGAAGGAGAGAGAGAGAGGGAGAGAGAGAGTAGAAATGGATGCAATAGAATATGGAAATGATGCCAATTTATATAGCATGGAGTGATGATAGTGAAGAGATTTAAGGCAAGTTCTAAAGAAGGGTATACACGTGATTTTTGGTTTGGTAGGATTTTCACACTGTATACAAGGGTAAACTACTATGACTGATATTTTGTTACTCTTTATCTAGTATTGATGTTGATATCCTTTGAAAATACCCTTAACGGTCATCATTTATACTAGAATGGAAAAGATGTTAGGTAAAAGAATTCAAGGGAAAAAAATGTTTTTTTAACTTCAAAAGTTAATTAAAACCTCCTACCAATCTTTAACTATGCTAGGATAGTAACTCTTAGGCTTGAAAATCAAAAATATAAATGAGATGGTGAAATGAGATTTTGGAGTGGTCGAGTAATTTCTTTTTATAATAGAAAAATTGATACGTAAAGTTAGTATTATAATAATTGAATATGTGTTTATAAGTAGGACAGTCTTTACTCTACCAATCAATTTTATAAAATTGAGATAGATTCAACTATATTTTTTAACAACATAATATCAAAAGAGTGGGTTTGTAAATGAGAACAATTCTCATTCTACCTAATTTTATCGGTATATATGAACTGAATATAATTTGTTTATAAGTGAAAATAATAAATAAAAGAAATATGAAAGTAAAAATAAATTTTAATATGTGAAATAACCTTTATTTATTTATTTATTTATATAATGTGGCCAGTTAAAATCGTCTAAACTCGAATAAAATTGCGTTAGAAAAATAATTAAGCGTAATTATTATAATAATTTTTGAGAGAATGTATTTTGTGGTATTTTGTGGATAAGTAACTGCAATTTGTATAAGTTGGCGGCTGTCCTTTTGTAAAGGCTTAGTTCCAAATATTTTGAAGTGACGGTCACAAAAATCGAGGTGGTAGCCATTAGAAGAAAGCTTTCAATGTTTCTTTATACTGTGTACCATACTTGTAAATCTACAATCTATAATTCTCATGAAAAAGTAATAAAAAATCATACCATTATGTAATTTTTGTATGTATAATATATTACATGATGTTTGGAATGTTGATTTTAAATACTATTATGTAATTTTCGTATGTATATTATTCTGTAAATTTTAAATTTTGGATTTGTAGATACTATTGGATTTGTAGATACTATTTCGATGGATTTTAAATTTGCACCACTTTAATTATGAAATATTTTCTCTGTAAATTTTAAATTTTGGATTTGTAAATACTATTTTGATGGATTTTAAATTTGCACTATTGTAATTATGAAATATTGTCTATTTTAGGTATGATAACACTTACAATTTCTTATTTAAGAAAACGTTGTCTCGTTAAATTGAAGTGTATGAATGTTGAAATGTATGAGTGTTGTATATAAATTACTTTAAATTTGATTTACAAGTAATACGAATCTATTTTGGCTAACTCGAAATAGTTGTTCTCACATCAAGGTTAAGAGAGACTAACATGCATGATAATACCTTAATTAGGATTTGCACCTTATGAAATATGAGAGACTAATATGCTATTTATAAGAAAAACTAACACACTAACCTAATGGACTTTTACACACAGGCCCATTACACAAGCTAACTTAGGGAACAAGCCAACTTAAACAATTGGGCTTACAACCTAGGTCTAATTCGACATGTTAACACTCCTAGCATACTTCGACTACAACATGTGAACAGACTTCAGCGACATGCTAAGATCATGTCGAACTGTTGACCCAAGAAGCTATCTTTCAACCATACTAAAGTTTGATCCAATATCTCACAAATCTCCACCTTGGAACAAACTCTATAACATCAAGGGAAAAAACTAGTTTTCTTCATGCAGTTTTATCAATTGCATACAATGGGAAAACTTACAACTTAGTAATGTCTTAGTGATCATATTAGCAGCATTGTGATCTGTCGAAACCTTCAACACTTGGACTTCTCCACGCTCAGTTATCCCTCTAACAAAATGTAGCCTCACATCGATGTGTTTGGTTCGCTCATGGTAGGCTGAACTCTTCGACACGTGTATAACACTTTGATTATCACATTTAATAGTGATAACTCGACCTTGAAGTTGCAGCTCCTTAGCAAAACCTTCAAGCCGCAATGCTTTTTTCATATCTTCAGTGAAAGCGATATATTCTGCTTCAGTGGTTGATAAGGCAACAACCTTATGAAGCGTTGCTTTCCAACTGATAGTTGTGCCAAACATAGTGAACACATATCCAGAAATAGATTTTCTGGAATCCATACAACATGCATAATCAGAGTCGACATACCCTTCGATTTCTGCTTTACTATTTTCACCATATGCTCCACCATAAATCAGGACTATATTCAGAGACCCATTTATGTATCTTAGCACCCACTTCAATGGTTGCCAGTGAGTCTTTCCAGGATTTTCCATGTACCTGCTTTCAAGACTTACTGCATATGTTATGTCGAGTCTAGTACAGACCATAACATACATCTAAGAACCTACTATGTTAGCATATGGGATGTTATTCGTATAAGCTCTTTTGACTTCAGTATCGGGACATTGATATGTACTCAGCTTGAATTGAGGGTTTTGTCGGAGTCACAAAAGGCTTTGAATTTGACATACCAAACTTGTCGAGAATCTTCTTCAGGTATGTCTCCTGAGATAAGCATAATCTCGATTGCTTTCTATCTCTTTGGATGTTAATCCCAAGAATTCTGGATGCTGCTCCCAGATCCTTCAAATCGAAATCCTTATTGAGTTTAACCTTCATTTGCATTACATCCTCGACATTGTTGCTTGCTATGAGAATATCATCCACATAAAGTAAAAAATAAAAAATGAATTTCCAGGTCGAAATCTGAAGTAAACACATTGGTCAAACTGACTTCTAATGAAACCTATGTGTGCCATAAACCTTTTGAACCTTCTATTCCACTATCGAGGAGATTGTTTTAGTCCATATAATGAACTATTCAGCTTGCACACATAATCTTCTTTTCCCTTTTCGACATACCCTTCAGGTTGCCTCATCAGGATTGTTTCATCTAGATCTCCATACAAGAAAGCAGTCTTCATATCCATTTGCTCCAGTTCTAGGTCGAACTATGCCACCATGGAAATTAACATTTGAATGGACCTGTGCTTCACAATATCAGAGAAGACATCATTAAATTAAACACCTTCTTTCTAAGTGAAACCCCTTGCGACCAATCTTTCCTTGTATCTCTTTGATGTCACTCCTTTGATTCCTTCCTTAACTTTGAAAATCGACTTACAGCTGACTAACCCGGCTCCAACAGGTTTCTTGATCAATTCCCAAGTGTGGTTATCATGAAGAGACTTCATCTTATCATCAATGGCCTTCAGTCATCCAGTCTTCTTTTGACTCCTCATAACTTTCTTGTGGTCTCTAGGTTCATCGTTTATAACCTCACTTGTAGAGATTAAGGCATAAGCTATGAGATTTACATACCCAAGTCTTTGAGGTGGCTTGGTGACTTTTCTCGACCTATCTCTTGCCAACAGGTAGTCATCGACAGTTTCCTCAGTTTTGATAGCAGTTTTTGTTTCTTCTTCGACTTCATTTGGGTCATGCAATTTAGCATCACTATGCTCCACCTCAACAGGAATCTCTTCTTGTTCCAGCTCTTCTTTAAATATCTTCGAACTTCGACCAATTTCATCAATTTTCTTGAAAGCCATCTCAGCCTCATTGAAAAATACATGTCGACTTATGATACACTTCCTGTAACATGGCTCTAGGCACCATAGCCTATACTTTTGAACTCCTTTAGGGTATCCAAGTAACATACATTTTAGAGTTCTAGGTTCGACCTTGTCTTGCCTAATATGAGAATAGGCTAAGCAGCCAAGTATTCTTAGTTTGTCGAGATCTGGTGGGTGTCCCGAGCAAACTTCTTTAGGTGCCTTCATATCTAACACATTCGAATGACATCTGTTTATCAGATATGTTGTTGTCGAAACAACCTCTTCCCAAAACACCTTCTTTAACCCAACACTAGTCAACATGCATTTAACTCTTTCCAAAAGGGTTCGATTAAACCTTTCATCCAAACCATTTTGTTAGGGAGTACCTGCAGTAGTTATGTGTCTTACAATAATGGAGGCCGCATAAAAAATGTCGAACGCCTCATTGTAAAATTCAATGCCATTATCGATTCTCAACCTCTTGACCTATCTACTAGTCTAATTTTCGACCAGAGTCTTCCAACTTTTGAAATTCTCAAAAGTTTCATCCTTAGTCTTCTGGATGAATACCCATAAATTCATGGAATAATCATCAATTATGGATAGAAAATACCTTGCTTCTGAATGTGATGGACATCTTGCAGACCCCTAAATATCAGCATAGATGTAATCAAGGGATCCATGTGTTCTTTGTTTGCCTTTATTAAAATTCATTCTGCAAGATTTTCCAAGTATACAGGGTTCACAAAACTTTAACTTTTTGACTTTGTCTCCACCAAGCAGATTTTTTTCTCCAGTTCGACCAGACCCCTTTCACTATCATGGCCCAATCTCATGTGCCAATTTTATGTCTTTGACAAAGGTTTTGTGGATGCAACATCTACAAAACCACTTACAACTCCATCCTCAAGGGTATATAAGCCTTGTTTTTTCACGCCTCTCAGGACTTCCTTCGACCCCTTTATGACTCTTAGGATACTTTTCTCTCCTTTGAAAACATATCATTTCTTGTAGGATTAACCAAGAGAAATCAAATTTCTCTTCAAATCAGGTACATATCTAATTGCAGTTAATAACCTTATTGACTCATTATGGAGCTTGAATCTCACAGATCCAACACCTGCGATATTGCAAGCTTTATTATTTCCAAGCAATACAGATCCACCATCTTGATCATGTAGTTCCTCAAATAAGTCTTTGTTTGGAGTCATGTGCCAAGTGCAACATGAATCTATAATCCACTCTTTTCTTG